GACCTAGGAGGCTGCCTGGCACACAGTGGTAGTCATTAAAAGTTCGCAGCCCTGGTTCACTGGAGGAGAAGAACCTGAGGGTGATTCCCGCCTTTGGGCTTTTCCTCAGGCCTGACGGGGCCAGAGCCTGGCGGGGAGGATGCTGCTTCCCCTGATGATCAGTACGAGCTGCGACACCCTCTGTGAGCAGAGGTCCGAGTTAGAAGAGCTTGACTTTTTCCATCCCCCTCATTTGCCATAAACAGTGGAACAGTGGTTTCAGGACAGCACCAGCTGGTGCACCCTCCCCCTCTCAGTCTCTGTTGTAGAGATATTGAGACATCTCCACTTACATGCTATGTGTTGTGCAATGAGTGCTGCCATGTGTCAAAGGCGATACTAAGCACACTCCATGTGTGTGTGTTGCCAGGTCCTTACACCTCCACAGTTGGTATCACTATCCTTATGTTGCAGATGGGGAAGCTGAGGCTCAGGGTTGGTAGTCAGGCCAGCTGGCTGGAGGCCAGACACCACTCTGCCTGGGACACATGTGTCAGACCGCAGGGCAGACTTCAGGTGGGGAAATCGAGTAGATATGGAGCCAGTGATTGTTAATGGCAAGCTATAATCAACACTATGTGCAATATGAGGCTTTATAGATTTTAAATGCGAAAATGTATTGGGGCTCATTTTCATTAATTTATTCTAACCAGTGGTGCCTTAAATCACATACACATCTTTGTACTCTTCAAAGGCAAACCGATTATAACCATCACCCACTTAAGCAAAAACCAGGCTGCTAACATCACTAATCAGAATGAGGTAACCAGAAACATGCGGTTAAAGCGGAAAATACTGAAGCACCAGGATTTAGGCAGAAATCTCGGTCTGAAAAGGCCTGAGTACCCACAGAAGAACCATTTCAAAGAGAACTTCCTTCAGGCCACAAGTCTATTCGCATAAGACGTTCTGCACAGGATAACAAAGTCCAGTGGACGGCGTTTTGAAACAAACCTGGAATCTTCGATGCACATAAAATAAAGTTCTCTTAGAATGCATTTAATAATTTCTCTATAATGACATTTACTATATCATCTTGAAATCAACGAGAGAGAATAAGTAAAGCACATACCTCAGACAGCCTGTCGTGTTCCGCAGGACTAGTGAGGTCTGGAACTTAATTTTATGGTCATCATCAAAAGAAGAGTTGTTCCATCCCGAGTGTGGAACGATCACAGTGTTTGTTAAGGTGGAGAGAGCATCACGGATGATGGTCATCTTCACAGAATCACATGAGGACAAATTCCAAAGAACCCCTAGAAGAGATTTTCAAACGTCAAACCGCCATTCGGAGACCCTGAAGTCCGGAGAATACAAGAAACAAACATATCCGCCCAACTAGATGCGAGTCAAGTCTATTCTCAACCTCATCTTTGACCTGCATTTGCAACCAGGTGAAGGGTGGCCCCTAGCTACGTGCTGCCGTCATAATTCTAAGTTGTAGTGCCTATGCTCAACCACCAGGTATGATTGTGGCTTTTGTCGAGCAATTACAAAAACCCAAATCTTTTTATTGCGAATTGATGAAACGTGACAAAACAGATCATCAATTTACCATTCAACAATTCATGCATTTTATTTCATCTCATGGATTGTAATCCCCTTAATTTGGCATCGTTTACCCCACCTCCTCCCTAGGTTTCCTAGGCCCATTCCTCCCCCTTCCTAACGTTTCAGAACTTCTGTCCTTGAGTAGATGCTGCCCCTTTTTGCTAAACAAATGGTGAATGTCTCAGTGTGGGGGGAGGCGTAGGGAGAGATGCAAGAGAGGGTTGTAAATAAGACATTCTGTGATTGTTGTAACCCGCTGTTCACTTCATTGTCTCATACAAGCATTTCTAGAATTTTAATACTGGGAAAGAATGGTTCTTCCCTTGTCTTTTGAAGGACTGGTATGTTTTTCTTCATAATGGTTCCCTTTCTTTCATTTGCTACCAGGAAGCTCAGGCTTAAGTTGAATGCTGTAGTACTTTATTGAGACAGAATGTTGCTTTATTTGCTTCCTCTTCTATATTTGGATGAGGACTAAGCACTTCTTTTTGACTTTAAGAGTTTATTACCAGGTGCTTCAGAAGTGTAAGCTATTGATGTTCCCTTTTTGAAGATATGGGTGAGACTAACAATAACTTAAAAATGACTCAGAACACAGTTGACCAGAATTGCTAGGATAACAGACTTTAAATGTAGCTTATCTTACAGTGTAAATTAAATTGAAAAACATTTTAGGGGTTTTAAATTTCTGGCCACACTGATGCATATTAAGTTGTATGGCACATTTTCTAATGATTGCTGCTTGAGAAATTAGAGTGAATTCAAGAGTACACCTTGTGTACTCTGTGAGGCCATTTCTCATGCATCCATTCTCCTGAGAAAGCAGGGACGGGCAAAGGAAAGGTGGTACAGTCGCTCTCCTCTGGGCTGAAGTCCCTCACCAGCCTGGCTCAGTGCTTTTTGAACTCCCGACACTCCGAGATGCTGCGGCTCTATCGATGAGGCGGGAGTTGGAGTGCATCAGCACGTTGGGCAAAGATGGGATGGAGAAGTGCTGCTACAGTGCGAGGTAGCTGAAGGACCCGGCGTGAAAGCAGCCTGTTTGGTCCTCTAGAGGCCCGGAGAAGGAGGGAGGTCTGAGAGAACTCACAGGGTCTCCCCTCCACACCTGTGTTTGTTGGGTTTTTAAGGAAGGAGGAGTAAAAACAAAGCACGAGAACTGAAGATAGTTAAAAATAAAATTCTGAGTACGAATTGAGTGAAGACTGTCCCTTCTCTGGCACTCTGCCTGGACTTTTCCATTCTGACCCATCCATGAGTGAACGGTCACGAATGGCACTGCTGCGTGTGCTCTGCCCTGGACCAGTGCGCAGGGTCCAGAGTTCTGCTTCATCTCTGTGCCCACACTCTTCTCCTTCCACTTGGTTTTAGCTTCTAGACCTCACTGATGTGGCTGCCTTGTTCCCTAAAGACTTACCATGTCTCTGGTCCTTCCCTTTGCTCCCACTACAAGCGAAGCCTTTCAGGACTTCACTGAGAGGTGGGGGCAGGAGGCGGGTAGGGGTTAGGCAGTCCACTACTGGAAGAAGTACAGATGTCACTTCATCTCTGAAAGCTCCTTCTACCCAACATACCAGACCCGTGTTCCTCTAGTTATTACACAGATAAGATACTAGTAAGTCCATAGTACACACTCTAATTGCTTACAAAGTAAACAGAATGACTACAGACAGAGCTGTTTCTTCATGGAGTCTTATACAGTTGGCTACATATTTCTATATATTGTTCTGGGCTTAAAGTTGTGCTCGCTGAACTCTGGGCTTCACTGGACTGCCTGGCATCGGTGGCGCCAAGACCCCTACCCCACCCAGCCAGAGCAGCGCCATGCAGATCTATTCTCAGTACTGAGCTTCAAGGGAAGCTCTCTTTGAAGAAAGGGTTTCATGTTGAAAAGATCATTGAAGCCGTGGGCCTGGGGTGGGGAAGAACAGTAGAGGACTGATCATGGCAGGGATCAGGGAGTTAAGGATGAGAAATGATTCTTTGGCGGTCTGTCCTGACCTAAATCATGGAGGAAAGAGGTAGGAAAGCACATGGGTGGGAGCATATCAGGGTGGGTGACACAGGCAGACATATTGCTGCGACAGTGGAGAATGTGGCTTTTCACATTTCCTGCTAACCAGGCCATCGACACCCAGCCCTCAGCACCTGTAGGACCTGCCTGGGGGTGAGCCAGCTACAGTGGCTGCAGCTGTCTTGAGAATGCATGGGGCAATGGCTATTTTCTAAGCTCTTCCACGGCTAACTTTAGAACATGTGATTCCTAATGTCTCTCAAGCAAATTCTCTCCCTGCCAAAGCTGTTCAAACTCCTCACTTCACAAATCTCCACACACAGGGGAAAGCGGCAGATGCTCATCAGCGCCCTCCTGCTTCACAGACTAAACACATCCCAGTAAAATCAAATGCAAGGCAGGTTTGTGGTGTGTAAAAGCTGTCAGGTCATACACCCTTTATACAAAATTAGATTCATTTTTACATGAAATCCAATAGCCTGAGTCACAAACATAGGTGGGAAGATGTCTAAGATGAGGGTGGTTTTTAAGCACAGTCAAACCTGGATTCCAGTTGGTGCTCTGATTCTTGGCAAGTAAGTTTGCTTTCCGTTCCTCCTCCCCCTACTCTTGGCAGGAAGACAGCTTACAGGCTTGAAGATTCCTTGATTTTCCTTGTTACTTCCAGGATTTTTGTCCTGCTTTTTTTTCTTCTTCTTCTTCCCAGAAATTCAGGTCAGTGGAGCTATATATGGTACAGGATGCACTACTGCTAGGTATTATCTTTATATGAGTTCAAACACAGCATAAACATCCACAAATCAATATAAACAACAGTGACATCACCATTTACTGGGATTTTAATCTGTGACAGGCATTGAGCTCCTTCGATCTACTCTAAAGAGGGAAGCTACAGAAAAGGACTTAAATCCACACTAACTTATTTCATAGGTTTGAAATTCGACTCATTTTTTAAAGGATGACTGCTATTTCTAAGTTTAATCGAGATATAGATTTCCCTAGGACAGTATATTGTGAGGTGCTGTTGGCTCTCTTCCAACTCACAGAGACCCCTATGCACAATGCAGCAGTGAGAGACACTGCCTGATCCTGTGCCGATCCCTCTGTGGAGGCCTTTCTCCTTTCTGTTGGCCCTCTAGTCTACCAAGCACAATGTCTTTCTCCAGGGACTGGTCCCTCCTGACACCACATTCAAAGTAGGTGAGACCAAGGTAACCATCCTTGCTTCTAAGGAGCAATCTGGTTGTATTTCCTCCGAGATATATTTTGCATCAATTCTTCTTTGGTCTTCCTTATTTTGCATGCACTTCCAGCTTTTGCATGCACATGAGATGATTAAAGATACCATGGTTTGGAGCAGGCTTGTCTTTATCCTCCAAGTCACATCTTTGCTTTTAAGTATTTTAAAGAGGTCTTTTGCAACAACAGATTTGCCCAATGCAAGCCATTGCTTTATCTCTTGATTCCCAGGATGTTGACTGTGGACCCAAGTAAAATGAAGTTCTTGACAGTTTCTTCCTTTCTTGATGCTGCCGACTGGTCCAGTTGTGGGGACTGTTTTCATGGTGAGGTACAGTCCTTACTGACCGTTGTAGTCTGTGATCTTCTCAGGAAGTGCTTTAAGCTGCCTTTACTTTCAGTGAGCCAGGCTGTGTTATATGCGTATTACTGGTTGTCAACGAGTCTCCCTATAAACTTGCTATCACATTATTCTTCATATACTCCATCTTCTTGGATTATTTGCTCAGCATACATACCAAATAATTATGGTGAAAGGATACAACCCTGATGTACACCTTTCTCAATTTTACACACAATCTTCCTTGTTCTGTTACAATGAGTGCTATGACTTGGTCTACGTACAGGACCCACGAGCACAATGAAGAGTTCTGTGATACGCTTTCTTTGCCACGTTATCCACATTTTTTGTGATCCACAGAGTCGACTTTGTATAGCTAACGACACACAAGTAAACTTTTTTCTGGTATTCTCTGCTGTCAGGTCCTCTTTTGAATCGGGTTAGACTTTCTGGCAGTTTGCTGTTAATGAATTTCTGCAACCATCTTAAAAAAGTACCCTCAATAACGTTTTACTGGCAAGCTAATGTTAATTTAATGCTTTTGCTCCCAATTTCCACATCCCGTTAGATGATCTTTCTTGGGATTGGCCATGGGAAGGATGGATTTCTCCTAGTAAGTTGGCCAGAGAGTGGTTTCCAAATCTCTTGGCACAGATGGGCAAGTATCTCAAACATTCCACCTGGTTGTGGAAACATCTCAACTGATGTCTATTAGTTCCTGGAGCTTGACTTTTCACCAAGGCCTTCAGTTCTTGAACATATTGACTTCGAACAGTTCTTTCTAGTGCAATGACCGTGTACTCCTTCCCTTTTCTCTTATTGCTTGCTTCCTGCGCAGATCAAGATCATGCCCATACGGTTCTTCAGTATTTCAGCGTATGACTTGAATTTTTTCTTCAGTTCTTTCAGTTTGAGAAATGTTGTGTTCTTTCTTTTTGGTTTTCTAACTCCAGGTCTTTGTACAATTCATGGCAACATTTAATTTCTTCCATTCACTCATTCTTGACTTGCTCAGTCAAGAACAAGTCTCAGAATCTTTTCTGATATCTATTTTGGTCTTTTCTTTCCTGTATTTTAACTTCTTATAGTTTATTTATAATTGTCCTTGATGC